AATATAATTGGTCTGACCTCTCAAACAAGCACAGCAGGTTCATTGGGAAATACAATACTGAACTATTCTTAGTTATTTGAGTAACAGTATTTAACCAAACACCACACATTTGTCTTTCCAGCAAAAAATTTTTGTATTAAAACAATATTACAGGCTTGCATATAGCAAGCCCCCAAAGTGTTGGGGTTTATGTTTAAAGATTCAGGTAAGGAGGTGACTACAGGGACCACCCAGATGTGGATTCATTCCTCAGAGTAACCTGGGATGGGAGGGAAGACAAAGATTTGGCCCATTTCTCTTTTCAGTAAAGACATTTTTGAATACACTTTGTGTGTGTGTGTGTGTGTGTGTGTGTGTGTGTGTGTGTGGATCTATAGGAGGAAGAGGAGCGTTTTAGGGGTAAAGATGGGCACTGCACAATAAAAAGTGAAGATCTGCAGCAGTCCTCCCTCCCTGTCAGTAACCAGGCACTTCCCCGTGGTGTGTTAGTGAGGTGACCGAACTTCTTGTTTCTCCCCATTTTCAATCTTAAAATCCGCCCCATTTCCAGGCTTTTTTTTATGCAGCTCAAGCCTTCTTTCTAGCAGTCCAGGCACTGGAAACTGGATCTGAGGGAACCCCAGACCCAGACAGGAGACAGGGTAGGCGAGAAGCAGCATGCCTGGCCCTGGCACCTTCAGAGGAGCACGGTGTCTGGAGCCTTCCTCGGGAAGAGATTTGTGAATGGCAATGGCACTCTTGGCAAATGGGCTGGGTGGGCAGAAAGAGTGAGTTTTTCTTCTTTTTAGGAGGGGGAGCTTTGGGGCTATTAAGGAGGGAGAGCTCAGATGACTTCAGTCCCTTAGGACGGAGCCTAATTTGTGTTATTAATGCCTTTAGAAATTAGGAGATGGGCAAAAAATTATTTCGCTGCCATTTGAAACTTCTGCTTAAACAAACGTTACAAGTTTCATAGCCCTGAAACTGTGATTTTGGGGATATTAATTTTAAACAGCAGCAACTCCTGAGCAACAAGCCCCTCACATTTCTGTTTAATTGACTCTCCTCTGTTTAACCTTTGATGAAGTGTGAAGATTTCACAGTTTTACTCTTGTACTTAGCAGTGTTTTAATGTTGACGCTATGACAGAGTCTATTTGGGCTTTGGACTTACTGGACGTTGTTCAATCATTTCTATAATGTGACTGCCGAACTCCAAGCCTGCATTTCATCAGGCAGCAATTGAAAATTCAGCTATGGCAGTAAAGGAAAACCTTAAAGGATTCCCCAGTGCCGCTCCCAGCAGGTATCCTTAGAATGTTCTCCAAATAGCTTCTTTCCTTTCTGATAAACTAGCCAGTAGCTGTCTTGACTCTTAACAGCTGGTCAATTAGGAGGAAATGTATTGACACTTCATTAATATCCTAAGGAATGTTTCACTTTGGGGAAGCTAAAGTAATGGTTCTTTCTCATCCTACTTTTTCTTTTTTCTTTCTTTTTTTAAGAGCATGCTCCTACCTGGTTCCTTGAGAAATTTACTTCTCCAGGGGAATTGGCAACTTGCTCAAGGACCAGTCATGGTTGGGGACCTCCCTGCTTCCCCCATCCATCCCCCACACCCTGCCTCCCACCACCTTTTCCTTCTGCTGAGGTGGCCTGCATGGATCTTATAAAATGGGTTAGATAACTGTTCTGAATAAAGTTGAGAGACGAATGTACACACGCAAGCACTGGAGTCCTCACCATTGTACATTTCATAAAATAGAGAAAACTGTAGTGACCTTCTGTATCTTGTCCTGAGAAGCAAACATCTTATAAAATGGGTTAGATAACTGTTCTGAATAAAGTTGAGAGACGAATGTACACACGCACGCACTGAAGTCCTCACCATTGTACATTTCATAAAATAGAGAAAACTGTAGTGACCTTCTGTATCTTGTCCTGAGAAGCAAACGTACATGCAGAAGGGGGAACACTCTTCATGCTTCCTTCCAAGTTTTCAGATTGGGCACCCTATGTGGAAACTTCTCTCCTTTTTCTCATTTCACAGTGTTTCAAACGAGGCGCTGAAGCTAATCTATTTTCCAGTCTGACTGGATTCTGTATCTTCGGAGACACAGAGAGGATGCTGGTGCTCACCACGTACCAGAGGGATCGTTCACGATGGAGGGTGACTCAGAGAAGTGAAGGGAGGGGACAATAACAGGCAAGGATTCAGTGAATTTAGAGGAGTCTTTCTAGAATCCGGGTTCCCGGGATGCACACAGACTGCTCAGCTTTCCCCTCCTAAATCAGATCTGCGGCTCCAGCACCGTCGCTGCGTTTTGCTCTAGGGTTGGGGAGGTTGTCATTTGCGGGTTGGTTAGGTGGCAGCTTTCGTGCCTGCCGAGAAAGGATCTGTACGTTGGTCGCTATCGCTTTTGCTCTCCCCCTCCCTCCCTGTAACATGCCAGCCCTTTAATGTGGAGTGTCAGGGAGACGCTGACGTCACCCTGCCCGCTGGGTGGCGTCCCCTCGGTCCGACACGAGTTCAGAGACGAGAGAAAGGCGCTGTCAGACTGCGCTCTGCTCGGGGCTCGCCTGCCGCGGGTTTCCGCGAGCCCCCCACATCTTGTGCGGTCGAGGGGACTCCCCACCGTAGTTCGGGCCGTCACTCTCCCCCGGCCGGGGTTCGAGCGCCATTAGCTCCAACGAGCGCCCGTATCTCGCGGAGCCCGCCGGAGTCCGGGCCGCTGGATTCGAGGACCCGCTTGGATGCTTCGCCTCCGAGCGCCCTCGGAAGATGGGCCGGCAGCCACGCGCCTAAAGACACCTAGGGGTTACCAGGTAGTGCCGGAACCTGCCAGCCCTGACGTGGCACACAGCTGCGCGGTTCACTATTCGAGATCCCCAGCGATGGGATTTTCCGCCTTAGGTTGAGGGGCAGCGGCGGGCTTCGGTGGCGATTGGTCTGGAAGCTGGGCGAACTGAGTTGGGGGTCGTTGGCTCATGAGTCGGAGAGCGAGGTCGGCAAGCTTCCTTTCTCAGTTCAACTAACTTTTAATGTTTCTTCTCCCCTTACCCCCTTACAGAAATTCCCCAACCTAAACCTTCGTATTTGTGTCTTTGCTCTGACGGGAGTTTCTGGGAGGGCTTGGGGTGACAGTGGAGGACATTCAAGAGCAGATACTTCTGCCGGATCTATGTCTGCTAAGGCTGCCGGCACTTAACGCAGAGCCAGCTCCCCGCCTGGGCAGGCCCGCTGCGCGCGTTGCAGGGGAGCGAGAGTTCGAGTCATCCCAGGGTCTTTTAAGGTAATAAGAATCTTGTTTGGGAGGGAAATGAGCACTGAACGGCTATTTGGCCAAGCTAGGGCTGGTTTTGCCGGGCTCGGGTATCCCTGTACCTTGAACTGCCATGTAATGTCCTGTCCCCTGGAAATATCTCTGATCCATCCGAAGTGACAAGCCAGGCTCTCCTCTCGTTTGATCGCGTCGAGGTTTGTTCAACCTTTCTGGAGGCCACGGAATGTAATGAGAGCCGAGGATTCACGGGGCAGCCAGGCGAAGGCGGAGGTACAGATGTGACAGGGGACCAAGGAGGGAGCGCTGAAAGGGCAATTTCGGTGGAGGGTAGGATAGAGTATCCTCTGAAATCGCTGTAATAACAAACTCCAGTGAACTTGGCATAGTCGCTATGCTACAGCTAGAAATGATTTTCCAGGGCAAAGGATAGTCTTGGCCTATGCTCTGGACATGTAGTTGTGGGAAGGTCACAGTTCGCTTTCCTAAGAAATGAACCACATAGCTTGTTTTGACTTAGGAACATTATCACAAAGGTTTCTTTCACTTGCTTTTCCTGTATTTTACACTTACTGGATATTTTTCCCTATTGTAATATCCTGTTAACTGGAAATGAAATTTTATCACAGATCCAACTCGAGCTTTCAAAGCTCTCACAGATTACCTAGTCTACAGGTTTTCTATACTGTGGGGCAACTTTTCCCCCATAAAGACACAGAGATATCAAGAAAGACAAGACAAAAATGTCACAGAAGTTGGTTCGCATTAAACTGGTTTTGTCTTTTAAAGTCCAACAACAAAGATCCCCCAGAATTGCTCATTTCTTTGCATTGTTTCTGGGTGTAATACACTTGCCTGTACTTACTTGCTCACTGTCAGGGAAATGACAGGAAGACATTTTTTAAATGTCCACAGGTCTTCAACTTCATCTTTTTAAGCTACCTATCTGGAACTAAAACCACTCAGTTCAGCAAGTGGGCTTTTGAAAAATTGAAAGTGAAACACCCTATTTTGGTGCTATTATGTATATGGCTTTGTACATGTTTCCACCTTTCAAAAAATAATTACTGTAACAACATATCTAATGGCAAGGACGGGAGAGAAGGGATTTCGTTTTGCTTCAATGAGCTGTGTTTCAACTAGCAGTAAATTTCCTCAAGGAAACCACAGATACCACAAAAATCACTTTTTAAAAGGTTTGGCTTTATTTATTTATTTTTTTAACGAAAATCAATCTATTTTCAAGCAAATGAGAATGAACTCTCTTTAAATTTGGGTTTTAATGGCCAAGCCTCAGTTTTCCTTAATTTTTAATAATCTGTACTAGTTACAACTGTTGTTACTTTGTAATTTCTAGCGGGCACGCCATTTTAGTCCAACAGCTTCTATAAATCTGAGATAAGATCTTAAGTTTCTTAGGAATTGACGGCTTTTTAAAAAAACCAAAACATATAATTTACTTTGGGTGTTTAGAAGAGAAGTACCTTCAAATCCCTGAACTTCCAAAGGGCGATCATGAAGGAAATTGAGATGACTTTCTTGTGCCTGAAACTTGGTCATTTTGTCCAGTAATAATCATGTCTTAACCAAAGTAAGGAAGTTACTTTAATTCTTCAGCTTTAGCGACTCACTCCACCCCTCTGTTTTAGACTTAAAAGGGTCAAATCAACGCTTTCTCCATTTTCTTGCAGCCTCCAAGGCAGACCTGGAGGGACCGGCCCGGGATTCCGCGGCGGAGGAGATGGCTTCCAGCCCACTGCCAGGACCCAACGACATCCTGCTGGCGTCGCCCTCGGGCGCCTTCCAGCCCGACGCGCTGAGCCAGCCGCGTCCAAGCCACGCCAACCTCAAACCCAACCAGGTGGGACAGGTGATCCTCTACGGCATTCCCATCGTTTCGTTGGTGATCGACGGGCAGGAGCGCCTGTGTCTGGCGCAGATCTCCAACACTCTCCTCAAGAACTTCAGCTACAACGAGATCCACAACCGCCGCGTGGCGCTGGGCATCACGTGCGTGCAGTGCACGCCGGTGCAGCTGGAGATCCTGCGGCGCGCCGGGGCCATGCCCATCTCATCGCGCCGCTGCGGCATGATCACCAAACGCGAGGCCGAGCGTCTATGCAAGTCGTTCCTCGGCGAAAACAGGCCACCCAAGCTGCCCGACAACTTCGCCTTCGACGTATCTCACGAGTGCGCCTGGGGCTGCCGAGGCAGCTTCATCCCCGCGCGCTACAACAGCTCGCGCGCCAAATGCATCAAATGCAGCTACTGCAACATGTACTTCTCGCCTAACAAGTTCATTTTCCACTCCCACCGCACGCCTGACGCCAAGTACACGCAGCCAGATGCAGCCAACTTCAACTCGTGGCGTCGTCATCTCAAGCTCACGGACAAGAGCCCCCAGGACGAGCTAGTCTTCGCCTGGGAGGATGTCAAAGCCATGTTCAACGGCGGTAGCCGCAAGCGCGCGCTGCCCCGGCCGGGCGCGCCCCCCGCCTGCCACCCGCTCAGCTCGGTCAAGGCAGCCGCGGTGGCAGCCGCGGCCGCTGTGGCCGG